TTTAAGCGTTCTGCTCTTAACCTCTTGTTTTCTTCCTTTTAAGCGTTCTGCTCTTAACCTCCTGTTTTCTGCCTTTTAAGCGTTCTGCTCTTAACCTCCTGTTTTCTTCCTTTAGAGCGTTCTGCTCTTAACCTCTATTCTCCCTTTTTTAAACGTTCTGCTTCCGACCTCTATTCCTTTTCGGGTATAACGCCCCTAATCCTATTCCTTTTCCCTGGGCATAATAGCTTATCGCCCTTAAAGTCTATTTCCCTCTACTATTCCCTTAATTAACCGTTATAATAGGGACACGATTATATTATAATAGGAGTATAGTTAGGGACTATTAGGGTTATAATAGGAATACCCTAAAGCTAGTTAAAAAAAAAAAACCCCCTAACCCGAAGGCTAGTAAAAAACCTAAAAGAAAAACCCCCCATTCCTCTATATATACTATCACGGCCCCTTTAGGGCGTCCTTAAACCCTATTAACTTATCGTCTAAAGGGGTAGGCTTCCGCTTAGCCACCTCGTTACTATTATCCTCCGTATATACCTGGCTCTACCCTATAGTAGTAGCCGCTATTCCCCCCTTTTACCCACTACCCGCTGATAGTGTTAAAGGCCGAAAAGATAAAGGCGTCTTCGCCTTCTGCTTTTTCTTCTTCTTCCCTAATAAAGGAGTCGAGGGCGTTAAAGCCTTCTTCCCCTTCTTCACTAATAAGGCCGGCACTATATCGTCATCGTCGGGCACTTTATAAGGGTCCGGCGGACCCTACGGACCTTATGGTATTATAACCCCCGATAGCGAGCCTTAAGGTTACGTAGGACTACCGTTACTAAATATATTATTATCTATAAAGATAACCCCCGCAGGGGCTAAGGCAGACCCTAAGGGTGCAGGCATATTACCTTCCACGGCCTAAGCCTAGGCTAGGTTAAGAGTAGCTATCTGCTCGAAGGCAGTAGCCGTACGTTCTTAGGCTATAAGGTCGCGCTAATATAACGTTAGGCGTTACTACTCGATATTAAGCCGTTACTACTTAACGGTAAGGCGCTGTCACTATAACCCGACGAATTACTTAAGGAGCGACTCTATACTATTAAGCCTCTCGTGGATATCTTCCGCCGTTTTCTAGCGGGCGTCGGTAACTTCCTTAGCTTAACGCTAAGTAGTAATAGCTTTCTCGGCAGACGACCGGTTAACCTTTAGCGTCGCTTAACCTAAAGCCTCTTTAAGGATAACCTAGCACCGAACTGCTATAGCCTAATACTATATAGGATTAGTAAAGGGACTATATAGAATTAGTAAAGGGACTATATAGGATTAATAAGGGGACACGGTTAGTAATACTTACACGACGACTCTTATTTAGGCTACCTTTCTCGATAGTGATAACTAAAACCTTCTATAGCTACTCGGCAGCGTTTTTACCGGTAATAAGGAGCTATTATATATATTAGAAATAGGCTTACGGAGTAGTCTATAAAGGGAGAGACTATAGCTATAGGGATAATAAAGAGATATAAAGGGGAATAAAGGCGTATCGGGATAACGACGAAGATATATAACTTACTATACGGTATTTAAGGCTATTATGCTTAGAGTAATAGTGGTATTTATTCGTCCGCCGACTATTATCGGTATAGCGACACGTTACGGCCTTAATAGTATGCGTTTTTTCCTTAAAGTTAATCGCTACTAACTTACCCGTATAACGTATATAGGGGGCCCTTAGATCCCCGCCTATACCGATATCTATTACCCTCTAGCGTGGAGCGACTAACGGCGTAGTAGTCGACGACGATATAGCCGTAGTAGGAGTAGGAGGATTTAGCGTAGCTGGTTACGGGGCAGACTATTTAGCGGACTACGAGGTTAACGCCGTAACCACGATCTTAATTCTTTTAGAGGACCGCGTTATACTCGCGGGAGTAGTAGCGTGTTTATTATTATTATCTTTCTAAGAAGGTATAATAACTACGCTATACCGCGCGGTTAGCTAGTATTATAGATTAAAGATATACAGAAGCACTTATAAGATAGTAGTTAATTAATAGAAGACTATAAGATATTAGGATATAGTATCTTAGATTAGGGGAAAACTCACGAAGAATAGCATAATCGGAATATTAAGTATAGGAGAGGAACCAAAGAATAGGAAGAGGGAATAACGGCAGGTTATAAGATATCCCTAAAAAGCAGTTATATAGGCACCTATTTTTAGTATAAAGAAGGAAGCTACGAATCCACGGAAGGAGTAATAATAGGCTCTATATAATACTAGCTCGGGGAGTCTTTATAGACGGATTAAAGGGATAACCTAGGAGGATAAAGGGGCGAATTCGAAAGCCCGGGAAGGAACCTATCTAGAGCCTATTAGGGTCCCGGATAGGATATTGGCTTTTTAGTCTTAGGTTAAGGATAGGGTGGCTTTTATTAGTGGTTTTTGGTTAATAGGTTAAAGGGAGAGAGTGCGTACCCGGGTTAGAGCCACGGCTAAGAAGGCTCTGTGTAGGAACCCGTCGGGGGCCTATTAGGGTCCTATCGTGGAAGGCTCTGATTCGGGGCGTTAAAGGGATTTAGAGACGGGCTCGGAGGCTGGGTAGCGGGGGAGCCGCGAGGCCGGCACGGATTAGGCCCTCCTAAGGATAGGAGTATCCGGGGGAGGTCGCTATATTAGGTGCCTGCAGTAGTAGTTATAATAGGTCCCTAGTATAAACCTATAGGGGTCCAGGCGTGCTTAGTCTAAGACCCCTTAAGGTATAAATAAAGCAGTTATTATATAGTAAATAGAATAGTCCCTCGAAGTAAATAAGGTAGCCCTCGAGGAAGTAAATAAGTAGTCCTCGAGGAGTAACGGAACGTAGTCTTAAGGAGCGGAGGAGCCTCCCCTTTAGATAGGGAGGCTAGCGATTAATCTGATTCTTTGGCTACACCTACGTTCTAACCCTATTATGATCCTATCGTGATCATACCTGGTTCCTTGCTTAACCCTACCTTTTCACTCTTTGCGACTACCTATTTGATAGTAGCCTATATATAGGCACGCTAAACCTAACGTATCGTGATCCTTTAGCTAGTAGTCTTAGAGGCTAAAGATATAATTTAACTATAGCTCTAGCCTATAATACGTTATAGCCCCCGAAGCTCTAGCCTTATATCTTTTAAGAGCTTTAGAGATCGTGGTAGCGGCTTTTACCCCTATAGGACTAGTAAGAGGGCTTCTTAACGCGTAGCCCGAATAGAATAGGTATTAACGCGGTTTTATTATTCGGTATAAGGAGAGGTAGGAGGATATAGCCTACTAGCCCTAAGACTAGGGGACTTATCGACTTCGGGTAGGCGTTAAAGCTATAAAGGGGGCGTAGATAGGCGAGGGGGCGTAGATAGGCGAGGGGGCGTAGATAGGCGAGGGGGCGTAGATAGGCGGCGAATTTCACGAGGGCTTAAGCAGAGCAGGGCGTTAATAGATACTATATCCAAAAAGGTCTTCTTCTAAGGATTCTAGAGATAGCTTTAAAATACGAATTACGAAAGTATTAGTAAAGTTATAGGTAGTTAAAGTTAGAGTATTTATATCGGATATCGTAAATCTAGTAATATCTTTAGTCGTGGCCTAATATTAGGCTAGTAGCGATATTTACTCTTATACCTATCTAGATAAAATAAGTGGGAAAGTACGGATCGGCAGGCTAATCTAATAAGCGACCAAGACGTAGGGCAAAGTCACACGCTAACCTACTAAACCCCGGTAGAGGTGTACTGTCGCCATATAACCGAAGTCCTGCCGTTATCTTATCAGTCGTCTTCCAGACTTGCAGCAGAACTACCTTAGATAAGGTAGTTACCTGAATCAATTTACTCTTCAATTTTGACCCCATTTTGATGGTTCCAGATACACTGTATCTGACACTGGTCTGCTACGTGCCGCGGGTGCAGCGGCAGAGAACATGCAGGACAGTGGCTTCTGAGTGCCCAATGGTATTGGGTATATGCACTTGAGCGACCATCTCATGTGGCCATTCAAACCGTCACATCGGGTTTGAGCAAGTTCAGTGGAGGGTCATACACGTTATATGATGTGTGTCGGCATTTCGGACGAATGCTCATCCACCTCCTAAGGTATAGACGACCTATGGGATTCATGGAACCCATGGAAGCACACTAATAAGTTATCTTTTGCATTATCCGGTGATACTGCCCAGACCGATTCGGTTCATCATATGCAGGTCGACTTGCCCTCTCGTTTGATAGAGGGGCTTTGCGTTCTCTTGCGTTCTCCAGGAGAAGTAAGGTACATCCTTCCAGGTTCTGGGTGGGTATACAGCATGAGAACTATTGATCCCCCAAAAGTGCTCCTCGTAACAGGTTACAGCTTCAATTCAGCGCTATGTGACCTACCTACCTACTACCTACCTTAACATGTTTGACTTCTTATCAGGTACGAAGTACTCAGTCAGATATTATCGTACAGTCACCGTCGGGCACTTGGCACGGTCTTGGGGTTGTTGGGGTACGTACTCTGTAACCGTAGGGACTACCTAAGGTACAAGTTCACTCAACCCCCCATGCCCAAAACAGGACCTGACGATCCGTAACCCCTCCCTCATTCTTCTTCCACCTCAGACTCTCCTCCTATTTGCCGTTTCCCTCCACCAACCTGGCCACAGAAGTACGAATATCCAAAAAGCCGCTCCTTTTTCGCATTGCCCATTGCTCCTTTATTACAGTACTCTCTCGGGTAGGAGTGGGTGCCTTATTACTCACCACAGTCCACCCCCAGGACACCAGAAATTCTCCCGTCTCCGCGCTGGGACGACCCGACCCCCTTCTATTCTACCTTAGACCAACCACTAGGTATTTAGACCCAGCTTTGGGTACATGTGTGCAGTAGTGTTACGGATACCGTACTGCGTCCAGCGCTATCGACTTTGTTGCCCGATCGAGAGTCGCTCTCCCCCACCACCCTTTTTTGACTAACAGGGAGAGAGGTTAGAAGACGGCACCCCAGCAATCTATCCTCATATCCTCCTCCTCATTTTCCTCGTCTTCACACCATTTGCTTCCCGAAACCCATCGTCGAGCCCACTAAGCTCCGTTCACACTTCGCGGTCCGGGGGAAAAGCTAGTCCCTCCGCCAACTGAAGGGCCTGCTTGCTGGCTCATTGCCATCTCCGCCTCATTCTACAGTCCTGAACACCCCCGTCTCCGGGGACACCGCCTCGCGATCAACTCCATACACCTCTCCACGCACCGCCCGAGACTCCGATCCTTTCCCCGAAACCTCGGCTTCCCGCTGCCCAACATGGCCGACCCTTTTGCGCCTCGCTCGATGAAGCGCAAGAACGTCAAGGGCCTCGCCTTGACCCCTGCCGCCCCTAAACCGCCTCCCACGGCCGAGACGAGTAGACACGACTTCGATCCCCACGACAAGGACGGGAACGACCACAGCGCGCAACTCGAAATCGGCATCGAGTACAAGCTGGACCTCAGGCCGGAGGACCTCGAGATCTTGAAAGAGCTTGGTTCGGGTAACGGCGGCACCGTTAGCAAGGTCAAGCATCTCCTGACGGGGACTGTCATGGCCCGAAAGGTACGAAAACGGAAATACTGAGAACCAGCCTCTGCGGTCCTGTGCTTTCCCCTGTTGACTTTAATGTGTCTGGGCTTTGCTAGGTTATCCACGTCGAGGCCAAGAAGGAGATGCGGAAGCGCATCGTCAGGGAGTTGCAGATCATGCACGGCTGCCAGTCCGAACACATTGTCAACTTTTACGGAGCCTTCTTGAATCACAACAACGATGTGATCATGTGTATGGAGTACATGGATGTCGGGTGGGTAACTCTAACATGCGTCTTTGACTCTTTTTTTTTTCTTCCCTTTCTCTCGCTCTCTTTCGCTTCTTCAAGGCTGACTAGGTCATGTTAGGTCACTGGATCGTGTTTCCCGAGTCTTCGGTCCTATCCGAGTCGATGTGCTGGGCAAGATCGCTGAAGCTACGTTGGGTGGCTTGACGTACCTCTACTCTAAGCATCACATCATGCATCGTGACATCAAGCCGTCCAATATCTTGGTGAACTCCAGGGGAAGCATCAAGCTCTGCGACTTTGGCGTCTCGGGAGAGCTTATCAACTCGGTCGCCGATACCTTCGTGGGCACTTCGACATACATGGCCCCCGAGCGGATCCAGGGCGAGAAGTACACCGTCAAGTCCGATGTGTGGAGCTTCGGCCTCACCATCATGGAACTGGCCATCGGCAAGTTCCCATTCGCCGCCAGCGAGCAGCTGTCGGACGGAGACGGCGCACCGGCCGGCATTCTCGATTTGCTGCAGCAGATTGTCCACGAGCCTGCGCCAAGACTGCCCAAGAGCGATGCTTTCCCTTCCATCCTGGAAGACATGATCCAGAAGTGTCTTTGCAAGGTTCCCGACGAGCGTCCTACTCCTCAGGAGTTGTTTGTAAGTTGACTGCTTTTTCCTCTTGTTTCTGTCTGTCCTGCGCAACCACTAACAAACTCTTCCTAGGACCGGGACCCGTTCGTCCAGGCGGCCAAGAGAACGCCGGTCAACTTGAGGGAATGGGCCGTCAGCCTTATGGAGAGGGACAACCGAAAGTCACATCTGGCGCCTCAACTCTCGCCGGCTACGCGTGAGTTGCTCAACTCCAGCGAATCCCCGACGTTTCACTTGGCCCTGGCCGACGACCGTGCCTTCGATACTCCCACCTCGGGGGAGATTCCTATTGCTCGTGCGGGCGTGTCACCCAGAGATGGTCATGGCCACCCGCAGAACCGCTCACCCACCAGGAATGGCGTGTCGTCAGGTCGGTCAGTGGGACCCCCGCATCCTGGCATGGGCCCAAGAATTATCACAAGCAACTCGATCCCCAAGGTCGGGGACCATCCGATGAGCGCAGGCCCGTCGAGCGGCGCCGGCGGCAGCACCTTCAGCTTACCCGTCCGACCAGCCCCGCCGGGGGGACCTTTACCGCCCCCGCCGCCTCGGAAGGAAACCCCTGATGATATGCGAAGGGAAAACAGGAGACAGGCTACATTCGGCATACCGCCCTCAAACAGGGGCTACATGGGTGATGTCTACAACGGTTCCTCCCACTGACTGGGTGGCATAGTAGCCGTCTCACTCTTTTGGTCTACTCGTGCCTTTGTCTCTCTTGGACGTTCCCATAAAGATGGCGACATCGTCTCGCCTTTTACATGTCCCCGCCAGTGCAATAAGCGACGCATCGGAAGACCGTTGTTACTCTTACTCCGTCAGATGGAACACACTGCAGAACGAAACCAAAGCGCCAAGTATACCCCTCCCTTTTAGTACGACAGCGAGAAAGACTCTACATGTGGCGTCCCCACGGATACCCCCTCGGCTCCTTCACCCGACAATTGCTTCCCCAGCACGAGTCTAGCGACAATTTGCGACATGGATAGTGAACCTGTGTAAGACGTCCGACGACGCAAATCTTCCACATCCACTTTGCCCTATCTGCATGCAAAGATTTCACACGAGCCTTCCTCTTGGGTGCATACTTCAAGTCCAATTTTTTTCTTTTTCCTTTTTTCGCATTGTGGCGGCGTCTGAATTGAAAAGGATTTCACACCTCGATCACTGTCCGTGTTTGATAGCCTGCATATATGTAAGGCAGGAGGGATCATGTATCTGGCCACCTGAGCATCAGGACTGAACATCAGTACTGAGGATCTCCTTGTGGTGTGAGCCACAACAGGTAGAGGCCGCCATCGGTTTCATTGTCGGTCCCTGCTACGTAAGGTATACAAATGTCAACGTTGTCCCTTTCGTCTCCTTCTAACTCGGTGGGGAATTCTCTCTACGTGTAGGTGAAAAGGTGAGCTTTCTCGTAGGTTCAGCTATGGGGTTTTTTTTTTTTTTTTTTTTTTTTTTTGCCTTCCTTCTGCATTCCGGGTCTATGGATTCGTAGAGCGTCGGATCTCGAAGCCCTCTTCTAGTATCGGTATCAGTTCATCTAACCGTCGGATGACCAAGTCAGTGTGGTGATGTTCCACGAGGTGGCCGTTCACATCGTTGAGGAGCAATACGGTCGCCGCACCCGCCTTTCGCCCGGCGGTCATGTCGTCTATGGAGTCGCCGACCATGATAAGCCCACTCGCATCCGCCTCGCCCTCCTCCCCGACCTCCGTCCCATTCTCACCCCCGCCCTCCGCGGCGCCGTCCTCTCCGTTCAACACTATGACCTGCCCGTCATTCTGCGCACTCCCACCCGAGTTCTTCTGCCCCCGGACGAGTCCCCAACTGCTGGCGATGTGCAGGATGCCGGCCGGGTGGGGCTTGGCCGGGCGGAAATCGCGGGTGACGATGGGGGAGAAGTGGCTGTCGGGGAGGAACTTGCCGAGGAGGTGGGCGACGGGGGTGTCGAAGTTGCGGGTGCAGATGCCCTTGCGGATGCCGCGGGCGTCGAGGTACGACATGATCTCGGCCAGGCCGGGCTGGGCGACCTGGGCGGCCATGGCCTCGCGCTCGATGGCGCGGATGGTCTCCATGGCCTCCTCGCGGGCTTCTGGTGTCGGGAGGGAGTAGACATGCTCTAGGATGTCGATGGATTTGGCGATGGAAAGGGCGGCGCGCATCTGGCTGAACATGTAGGTTTGGGGTTCACTGTGAGATGAGAGTGAGCATGAGGCCATCGGTTTCACGAAATGTATCTGCATTCATTGGTTCCATCTGGTCCTCAAGCCTCTTCTTTTTTTTTTCTTTCTGTGTTTTTTTTTTCTTTCTTTTTTTTTTTCTTTCTTTTTTTTTTTCTTTCTTTTTTTTTTTCTTTCTTTTTTTTTTGTATTTTCTTTTCGTTCGGTTTGTGTTGTTGATTCTTAAGCTCATCTGAGTTGCTCATGCGGTGTTGTCAAAACTAACTTACCACAGCGTTCCATCGACGTCGAAAACGACGCCTTGCAGCCGAGGGGCGTCGGGTGAGGGGCTCACGCCCTGCTTGAGGGGCGCAAACCGGAGGGGCTTGGATACTGCCATGCTAAATACCAGTGTTCGCATAAGGTGCGTTCTAAGAAGGGGGGGGAAGGGTATTTTTTAAGTGAACGAATGTATGAATGAAAAAAAAAAGAATAGATGAGAAGAAATCGAAGCCCGTCGAAACCCCGTTCCCTCTTGCTCACTTGCAACTTTTTTGAGTACAAGATGAGAGACACGGAGATGGGAGATGGGCCAAGAGAACATGAAGACAATTGTGGCTTGTCCTTGTACTACCTTAGCCACACCATGGATCGATGGCTGGCCCACATGACAGTGTGAGTACTGTATAATAAGGTATCCACATACCGTGTACTAAGGTAATGACGCCAGCCACCACACATGTGCTACGTACCTTAGCCAAGTCATTCACTATTCACCCAGGAGCTCCATCCCGACCTTCCCTTGCATCGACCTTCCATCTCCACTCCACCTTCTTCTACCTAAGCTTTACCTACCGGTACCTACTCCGAAGCTCAACTCAATTGTCAGATCGTTGCCCACTGTATCCGAACTCGTCCCCACGATCAACAACCTTACTTTGTAGTGTATAAACACGCGTTTAACACACTTTCTTTCCATTTGCTGTCGAATTTATTTGCTCGTTTTTCTATCTTTTCCTCGCCCGCTCTCTGTATTATCATTATCTTCGAGAATGCGAACGCCCAACCATTACCATGGCCTCGTCGACGTCCACAACCCAGTGGCCGCCCAGGCGACCCTCCCAGCGTAGTGTACGTTGCTCCTCCGCCTGCCGTCATTCACGCGTATTCAGCGCGTCTCCAGAGTTGCCAGTTGACATGTATGCTGTCTCTCATTGCGGTAGAAGCTTCGAAATGGCACCGTGATCATTCCGTCAACCGGAGAGCGCACCCGCCGCCACTTAACCCTCCGTCCCTCGAACCACGGTCGCCCCGAAGATCGTCGATCCCTTTCTTTTCTTCATTCCGAGGATGGATATCCCGCTTTCGCAAGACAAATAAAAAAACTCCCTACGAAGCTCTGGACTTTCCTCAAGTCCCCGGCTGGTCGCGGTGTGCTCAAATGCAGCCTGGCCTATTTCCTCGGCAGCTTGGCCACCTATCTGCCTCCTGTGTCTGCCTTCCTTGGAAAGCCGGACGGAAAGCACGTCGTCGCAACCATTACGGTTTACTTTCATGCCAACCGCACGTGGGGGTCAATGCTCGAGGCCGTCATCATCGCAGTCTGCGCCATTGCTTACGCCCAAAGCTTGTCCATCATCGCCATGGGCTTGTCTCTGCTTGGTGCCGAGACGGGATTCAAGACCCTCTCCCACATCGCGGTACTCGTCCTCTGCATCGGCTTTGGTCTAGGCTTTGTGGGATGGGTCAAGGCCAAGATGGACAACCCGCTGGTGAACGTCGGTTGCACCCTAGCCTCGATCTCTATCATTGCTACCATCACCAAAGAGGAAGCCATCCATGATGGCTATCTTTCCTGGGTGAAGATTGTGCAGATCTTCAAGATCCTTGTCATGGGAGTTAGCATTGCCACCCTGGTGAACCTGCTTGTTTGGAGGACCTCTGCCCGGGCCAACTTGCGGAGCACCTTTAACTCGGCCACCTTGTCGCTCGGCGATATGCTCGCTACCATCTCGCGAGCCTTTTTGAACGGTACAGAGGAGGAGCTTTTGTCCCCGGACTACACTCGTATGCGGGAGGACTACAGGACCGCTTACACTAAGATGTCGAAGAACCTGGGGGAGGCCAAGCTGGAACATTACTTGCTGGGCCGTGAGGCCATCTATCACCTGGATCGGGAAGTCGTCAGGTCCTTCGAAGTCCTGACACATGCCTTGGGAGGCCTTAGGAGTGCCGCCGAAACGCAATTCGCACTCCTCAAGGAGCTGCCCCAGGAAGCGCCGACGGGTCAGACGTCGCCCGGACCGAACCTCTTCTCGCCCACGCTGGCCAGGTCCTCTTCCTGGCAATCTAGGACCTCCTGGGACCGAGTCGGGACGCTAGCTGCCATCGACGAGTCGGAGGAGACCGAGCCGGAGTTTGCCCCCGCATATCTCGGCCAGCCCATCAAGCTGCGCTCGCCATCTGATATATTTGAACTCTTCATCGCGCGATTGGGTCCGTCAATGAAGTCTTTAGCGTATACTCTCAGCGAGATCTTGAGGACGCCTACCTTCGGGCCCCCGCCGACATACGAAATCACGGTCAACGAGCACTTCCGACGCAGCCTCCAGGATGCTCTGACCATCTACAACGAGACGAGGACGAGAGCCCTGCGTGAGATCTACAAAGCCATCGAGCTCGACAGGTCCAGGTCGGAGAGTATCCAGGCGGACATCGAGGAGGTGGCAGCGGCCTGTGGGCATTTTAGTTTCAGCCTTCAGAACGTGGCCGAGTACATTGACGCCCATCTGGTCGTCTTGGAGGACTTGAAGTTTGCTCGAGCCACCAGCGGCCGCCGCTGGAACTGGCTGAAATTCTGGCAACTGTGGGCAAACAGACGGAGGAGGGTCAAGCCCGACGGCGACCCGGACCGGGAGGCGCTGCTTCCACAAGAACCTGGTCCAGACGCGCCGGTGAGGCGAATGAAGAAATCGGGTATGCCGAGAGGCCTTCCCGCCGAAATCGTGCATCAGAGAGACAGCTGGCATGCGGCTCCCCATGCCAGTTCCATTGTGAGGACCATCTCTCAAGCATCGCTTAAGGTGTTGAGGTTTCTGTCTCGGGACGACAGTATGTTATACCCCGTCACTTTGTCTGTAAAAAAGAATTCCCTTATTTTTCTGACAATGTCTAGTACGATTCGGCATCAAAATCGGCGTTGGTGCCATGATATGGGGTGCATTTGCATTCCTCCCCGCCACGCGCCCAATTTACAAGCATTGGAGAGGCGAATGGGGTCTGCTCTCCTACATGATCGTCACGAACATGACTATGGGAGCAGCAAACACCACCGGCTACACCAGATTCCTCGCCACACTGGTCGGCGGTAGTTGTGCTCTGGCCACGTGGGCCGTCTGCGAAGCAAATGCCGTCGCGCTGGCCTTCTTCGGATGGGTGATGAGCGTCGGCAGTTTTTACGTCATGCTCGTTCGGGGGAAAGCCCCCCTTGGCCGTACGACACTGTTGGCATGGAACGTCACTGTCCTCTACGCCTACTCATTGACCCAGCAGGTGGACGATGACGATGATGACGAGGGCGGCACGACTCCGATCATGTTTGACATTGTCTATCATCGAGTTCTCATGGTGAATCTGGGTATTTTCGCCGGTATTATGATGTGCCGGCTCATCTGGCCCATCTCGGGCAGACTCAAGTTCAAGGAGGGTCTCGCCGTTCTCTACCTGCAGCTGGGTCTCATCTGGAGGCGAGGCCCGCTGGCTATACTACTAAAGAGCGACAACACAGAATCGTACATGAAAGCCGGAGAAGAGAAGGCCCTTCAGCGATACGGTAAGCTAATACGGATCTTTTCTTTCCCTGCGGGCTTTGACCGTGTTTTTGCTGATTTGTTTTTCTTTTTTTTTTTCTTTTTCTTGCCCACACAGCCCTCAAGCTCGATGCCCTCCGTAAATCGGCCAAAGCCGAGTTCGAGCTCCGTGGCCCATTCCCAGACGCCTCTTGCGCCCGTATCATGCAGTCAACTCAAAAGATTCTCGACGGATTCCACGCCATGAGGCTGGTGACTTCGAAGCGCGGCAACCTTTCGCCGGGCGAGCGTGCCCTGCTCGTACACACGGCCCCCGAGCGCGCTCAGATTTGCGACCGTATCTGCCACGTCTTCCAGGTCCTCGCCAGCTCCGTCATGCTCGAGTACCCGCTCACCGATGCGGTTCCTTCGGTGGGGAATAATAAGGATAGGCTGCTGGGCAAGATTCACCGGTTTCGAAAGGAGCACCAGCGCCGGCTAAGTGGCACCGATGAGGAGGGGACGAACCAGCGGGAGAATTCGAACGGGGATGCGCAGGGAAATAGAGACGGGAAGGCGAGCAAAGATGCGCCGACCCGTCCGCAGTTGCAGGACATCGATGTGGTGGTCGAAGAGCAGGATTACGCGCTGCTTTATGCGTATATCCTCGTCACGACGCAGGTTGCGCAGGAGCTCCGTGTGGTGCAGAAGGAGGTGGAGGGGCTCTACGGCGTGCTCGATGAACATGCCATGTTGTTGCGTTGAGGTTTTCTTTCTGCCCTATACTCGTGGCAGCAGGTGGGCGTTTTGGGGTTGTCGGATCAACGGTAACTATAAAACGTTTTTCGAACTTGGGACTGGCGGATCTGGGCTGGGCTGGGCAGTGCCCCTTTTTTTCCGGCGTAGAGACGGGACTGGGCGGCATGTAAGAGACAGCGACAGCGACTTTGTGTCCGTACGTGGATACACAATAATTAGACGCTTCATGACATATATTATCATACCGGCCGAGTTTGTTCATCAAGCTATAAACATAATGATTGCATTTGTTTGTCCTCGCGGAACTGTCATAAACACCCGTAATGCATTCCATGCTATATGATAGGTGTCCTCCCCTCCAACGCCTCACGCCCCGACGAATCCTGAAAAGAGGTAGCCAAGCCCGTCGCGTTTTAGCCAAGCAGACCCCTTCCGCCTCAGAAGGAAATCTCCCTGATCGTTCCCACTTTGCCCATCTCATACTCAACCCAGCGGCCGACCCGCGTGCGACCCGGGACGAGCACGCCCGACGGGTTCATGACGTGGCACCCCTCGTAGGTGACGCAGAAGGGCGGCGCGGAGGTATCGACGAGAACCATGGCCGTGGGGAGCGGGTACAGATGCAGGGCGCTGGCGTAGTCCCAGTGTACGGGCCGGGTAGCGTTGCGGAAGGGGGCTAGGTAGCCCTGGTCTAGGAGGGTCTTGACGAGCTTGCGGGCCGTGTGGAGGTCTTGCGGGACCTGGGGGACTGGTGGTGGTGCAGACTTGGTCGCGGGGTCGGAAGATTCCGCGTCCAGGTCCATGGCGTCTTCTTGTTCGGCGGTGGCGTTTTCGTTTTCGTTTCCGTTTCCGTTTGCATTATCCTTGTCGTCGTGGGGAGGTTGCGCGGCGGAGGGCGATGATGAGGACTTTAGCCGTACGGCGGTGCGTCGTAGACGGGCGGCGAGGTCGTCGCGGAAGAGGAGGATCTCATGGTTGGGGCCGAAGAGAGTGATCCGGCTGGGGTTGGACGTCCAGATGGCCTCGCCCTCCGCCGGTTTCCCCTGGCCCTCTGGCGCGTCGCGGGCGGCCTCGGCGTTGGCGGCGGCAAACGTGCGGCGGATGCGCGAGGTGAAGAGGTCCGGGGCGGGTTTACGGGGCAGCGGGACGGCCGCACCGCCGCCGAAGGACGAGACCCACGCGTCGTTGTCGCCGGGGACGAAGACGAAAGTCGCGCTCCGCAAAAGAGTGGGGAAGTCGGCGAGGGTGCTGGCCAGGGCGTCGAAGACCTCCTTGTATTCGATACTGCCGCCGGCGCCTGCGGCCCCGGGGCCCCGCGCTAGGACGGCGTGCTGTGTGAAGTTGCCGGCGAGGACGAAGGATATCGGGGTCTGGCCTTCGGGCTCGGCAGCGTAGAGGGCGAGGATCTTGCGAAGGGCTTGCAGGGTACGGGGCTGATCGAGGTTGAGTTCGCCGAGGATGACGACGCGGCCACGGCCCGGGGTGTGGGTGTGGGTGTCGTCGGCCGAGCGCCGGGGCAGGAGTCGCTGCTCCAGCTTGCGCATCCGGGACCCGACGGCGCGCTCGCTACCTACTCCGAGGAAGTCGATCCAGCCGAAGCCACCTCCTATGGTGCTATCTTGGCCTCCGTCGGGTCCGTTCACGCCGAGAGTGATGCGGCGCTTTTCGCAGGGCGGCTGGCCCAGGAAGAAGGCCTGAAACCGTCCGCCAAGGGTGCCGCCGACTCCACTACTACCGCTGAGGCCCTTGCCGACAGATTCCTCTTCCTCTTCGTAGACGCCATCCACGAGGACAATCATACCGGGGGCGAACCAGGCCGAGTCGTCGGGAATGGCTACCGCTTGCGAGATGTCGAGAGCAATGGTCCCTGTGAGATCGCTGATGGCCAGACCGCCTGTGGGGAGCACGACCAGCATGCCGAGGAGCATATGATGGCTGCCATGACGGCCTAGCAGGTTAGCTATGGGGGTGATCTTGTGGCTCTGTTGATTGGATGACGATCGACGCAATGTAGGCGCCCTGATGCTAGCAACGGTGGAGACCTGGAAGGCTTCGTTTCGTAGGAGGCGTTGGTGGATGACATTATATCTGTTTCGGAAGAGAGCCGTCTTGTGTGATGCTGATGGGAGGAGAGACGGTTTGGCGGTTTCCCTGGTTTGCTCGATCATTTGCCATTTGTCAGTTTCAGTCGCAGAATCTTTCCTTCCTCAAAGGTGAGAGAGTCCGCTAAAGTCCGCTAACACACCTCTCAAAATGCTTCTTCGCAACATTGTAGGATAACCGGGGCTGCTCGAAAGCTCCCACGACCTTCAGCCATTTCCTGGGGTCTAGAAGGGCCTCGTCCTCGTCCACCACGTCGGCACCCACATCAAGGCCTGACATTCCGAAGCTCTGCTGGGACTCTTCCCTCGTCAACGCGGCGTTCGGTCGCAATCCCATGCGGGTGGTAGAAAAGCCGGCCTCTTCTTCGGCGGCCAGGGACAGCGTGCTGTCCTGCCTGCTGAGACCCCTCCCGCCACTGATGATCTTACCCCCGCTCATATTGCCCTCCAGAGTCTTGAGAATCTCCTTGAGCTCCTTGTTTGCGCCGTCGACAATGACACCTCCATTGCGAGCCTTCCAGGACCTGGCTGCCTCTTCTAGTACTTTCTCGGCCAACCCTTCCTCGCGCCATCCTGAGCCACAATGACGGCCTATAAAGGTAGCAAGCTCCTGTAGCGCCGACGAGGTGAGGGTCAGGCCGTGTTTCTTCGTAAAGGTACGGAAGGCAAGGGGTCGGAGAGTCGCTGGCGGTAGGATGATGGGGAGTATTGCATGTTTCGTCGGAGCAGTAACCTTGAAGGGTTTCAGCGGGTGGACAGGGGTCCCAAAGGCGGGTGAGGACGAGGGAATGGCAGATGAAGAGGGGGCGGGAGTTTTCGAGTTGCCGCCGAAGATGTGGGCGATGGTGGTCTTTCGCTTGGGAAATATGGCCGGCGGCGGGAGATCCATGATGGGTTATGGGTTGGCTGCCCTGGCTTGGTGGTATATCGGTGAATGGTATTGAGTGCCATCCAAGCTGAAGGCTGTAACTTCAAGAGAGATGCGAACACATGGGGAGGGTTTGTGGGGGTTGGCTTGGCAGTTGAGTTCTGCAACACCGGATGTCGATAGTTGCTGTCCAGGGTCCAGGTCGAGGTCGAGGGTTGAAGGTTGAGAGAGGATTTCGCCGTTGGATGTCGTTTAATTGAATCGCGTCAAATGGGCTCTGAGCGCGTCTGAGGTACGTGCTTCGCGACTAGCGATAAGATAGGATAAGAAGTATGCAGGTAGAGGTACCTACATGTAATTAAGTACCCTGGTATCTTATTCGGAATTGCAGCAAGGTACCGGTAATTAATTATTAGACCTACAGTTTTGTCGCATTTCCTCCCCGGCAGCTCCAAAAGCTTGAAGTTCTTGTTTCTTCTTCACACCAACCCGACAACACAAATCGACAAGTTCTCTAAAACAGCAAGGGTACTTCGAACGGCCATGTTAGCAACGACGATTCGAATCGCTCCACGGTATAGAGGCACATTTCCCTTCTTACGGACTGTCTCTACTCTCGCATCCAATCCTCGCATTGTCAGTACCTCCCATGAAATGTACCCGAGAACACCCATACACCATACACCATCCGCCCATCCGCCCACACGCCCACACGCCCACACCCGCGCCTCTGGGGTTTTATCAAGCCTTGTCGAGATCCATTGAGCTCCCCATAGACTTCACAGCGAACGGCTAACCCCTCCGATGTGGCGCGACAGAAAGTCTTCCCTGCAGACTCATCGCGAGCGTCTTTCCTCCTGAGCTACCTCGACACGCAGCCTCCAAACCACAGGTTAGCCATCGGGTTTTCGACCAAAGACCCACCGACACCGCAGTCTTTCAACGAGAACCAGACTTTCTTATCCATCCTCTACGATGTCCTTGCCGAGTATGCGCCAAAGGATAAGGATCTGATCGCCCAAGCCAGAGCCTTTGCGGGACCCGGCGGAGCCAATCTGGGCTCGGGAGGCATGTTCTTCCCGCAGCAGAGCAAGAGACGGTCTAGCAAGTCTACGTCGGCGAAGCAAGGAGGAGGGGGCGGCGCTGGGGGTAGCGGAGCCGGCGGAGCCAGCGGTCAAGGAGGGGCCGGCGGTGGTGGTCACGCCGGCTATGTCCATCTCAGTGACGCGAGAAATCCACCAGACTTTGGGCGGATCGCGTGGCCAGAGGATATCCTGGGCAGCGTCGAGGTCGACCAACAAGGCAACATCGTGGGCAAGCTCCAGCCCAGTGGCACATATCGCATCATCACGAATGAGGGAATGTAAGTCCAAAAGACAAAATGACAACAAGATGCCCTGGGAATCTGCCAATGCGCCAGGCGAATGGAGATAGGCTAACGAAACCCCAGTCTCGGGCTCAGCCCTTACTTGACAGAGAGACTTGTCGAGAGGCTCAAGGAAGAGGAGAAGAGGGACAGATCCAGTTGAGCTGGTTTGTAGGGTGTGAATACCAAGATTGATACCTTCATGTCTATGCTATGTCGGCCTACGTATTGTCCTCGGCCATGTCAACAGCGGGAGATGACTGCGACTGCGAGTTCGGGATGAGATGGATCCACACCACTGCGAAGTACGCGTGCCGGCATTTGGGCCCCGTCTTTGGAATATGTAACCGTAAAAACTAAGGTACGGTCTGTTCAACATAGTACGGGGTACGGATATACACTTTGTACGAAATCAGGTCCCCAGAAAAACGGTGAAGAGAACTAATGTATGCGCGAGCACGGACCACCTTCTCCTCTCACTGAATTTGGGGACAGTGGGAACTCCCACTGTGTTAACGAGTACGGTCTAACAAAACCCCACCATCGTCCAACTTCGTCATGCCGCTTGAACCAACATATTACTTCGCAACCTGCTCTATACGAAGGAGTACGGTGTACTAATCATCTATTACTTATCAACCCACTCCCACACTGCACCCAGACCAGACGTCTCTCCAATCGCCCCTAGTCATTCCGATCGGCACCCCTCACCCTCCCCAAAAAAATTAGAAAGAGAAAGAGGCCCCCGGGCATTACCCTACAGTGGCACCCACCCCCCAGTAATTTAGTCGCCCGTATCATAGGCGAGGCGACCCGTCTGCCCGGTCTGGCGGTCGAAACCCCCGGCCCAGTCCCCGCCCTCCCCTCAAGCCAACGTCAAACGTCAAACACCAAACGAGCCGACATCCCCCGACGACATGTCTAATTCTAGGGGCTTCGACGACGAGGAGCTCACTATAACCCTGTCGCCGTCCCAAGTTCGCCGTCGGCCGCATAATGAGACGTTCCCAGCCTCGTCTCCCCATCACAACGACCCCTCTTCGACCACTTCTAGACACCCTTCCCGCGTGGGCGAAGCCGGAGCCCCCGCCAACGCCAACATGGCCTCTGCCGGCTCTGGCTCCGGCCTTCCCACTGTCCGCGAGAGAATCAAGACGGAGCAACGTATCGGCGCCTACAAGGTCATCAAGACCCTCGGCGAAGGCTCCTTCGGCAAGGTGAAGCTGGCTATCCACATCAGCACCGGTCAGCATGTCGCCCTCAAGATCATCGCCCGGAAGAAGCTCATTAGCCGTGACATGGCCGGTCGTGTCGAGCGAGAGATTGAATATCTTCAACTACTGAGGCATCCCCATATCATCAAGCTGTACGCCCCCCCCCAACGCCTCTTTTCCTTTGCGTCCGCGAAACTGATTTGCTTGAATTTTTCCTTTCGTTCCAGGTATACCGTTATCAAGACCCAGAATGAGATCATCATGGTCCTCGAATACGCCGGCGGCGAATTATTTGACTACATCGTCCAGAACGGTCGCATGAAGGAAGCAGAGGCCCGCCGTTTCTTCCAACAAATGCTTTGCGCTGTCGAATACTGCCATCGCCACAAGATCGTCCATCGCGACCTCAAACCCGAGAACCTCCTCCTGGACGATCAGCTGAACGTCAAGATTGCCGATTTCGGCCTGAGCAACATCATGACGGACGGCAATTTCCTCAAGACATCCTGCGGAAGCCCCAACTATGCCGCGCCCGAGGTCATCGGTGGGAAGCTCTATGCCGGCCCCGAAGTCGACGTCTGGAGCTGCGGCGTCATCTTGTACGTCCTGCTGGTCGGCAGGCTCCCCTTCGACGACGAACACATTCCCAGCCTCTTCGCCAAGATCGCCCGCGGCACCTACAGCATCCCCCAGTGGATAAATACCGGCGCCGCGAACCTCATCAAGAAAATGCTGGTCGTGAACCCCGTCCAGCGAGCCACCATCAAGGATATCAGGGACGATCCCTGGTTCACCACCGACCTGCCCGCCTATCTGCAGCCGCCTGTGGAAGAGTTCTACGATACGGGAGTGGACCCCAACAAGGCCATCAGGAAGAGCGACATTGCCCCCAACGCGAACATCAAGGTCCAGGAGAAGTTGCATGAGGAAGTGACGGAGAAGATTAGCAAGACGATGGGCTACGGTAAAAGGGATGTCGAGGAGGCCCTCGAAGCAGATGAGCCGTCAGCCATCAAGGACGCCTACCTGATCGTCCGCGAGAACAAGCTCATGCAAGTGACCGGTGCGTGTATACCTCTTCCCCCCCCCGCGTTTTTCTCCCACAAAAAGGGGCACTCATGTTAATTCCCGTCTGTAGAGACCCTAACCAGCCTCACAGTCGACCCAGAAGGATCCAACAGCCCCATGCCCAGCGCCTCGTCGGCCCGGTCAGGAACCTCCACCACAAGCGCTCCGCGGCCATACATCAGCAAAGTCGGCGTCCTACCCACCAGTCTGCCAGACTATCACAAGGCGTACGTGGAGCGGGAAAAGGCGGGGATCGAAGACACGCCCGTGCCGCCCGTCCTGCCGGACGAACCCGACGCCGTGACCCGCACGGAAGCGGAGCGAGAAGAGATGGCCCGTCGTCTCAAGCCCCATTCGAAGAATCAGCTCCGACTCGAGGAAGGCAGCAGGCGGCCGCAGGGCCTGACGCCCGTGTCAGGCCCCCCTCCCAAGAGAATCAAGCCCGTGCGATGGCAATTCGGTATCCGGTCGCGAAATGCGCCGTGGGAGGCGCTGCTATGCATCCACAAAGCTTTGCACAAGCTCGGGGCCACGTACGTACCGGACGAGGACTACGAGAAGTCCCAGATCGACGAAGACGACCAGGAACGGGGGGGCGCAGGAGGTAGCTATGATGACGGGTTCGGGAGCGGGACCCAGCCGTCGCAGCGTGGCAGCAGTTCAGCCGCCAGCATTGATCCGCAGAAGAGATACAAACTGCCAGCCGACCCGTGGCATATCAAGGTTCGCTGGGAAACAAGATGTAAGTCAAAGTCATTTCCTTTTCACCGGACATGGACCGGGGAGCGGGGAGCGGGGAGGGAAAGGGGCGGGGCTAACTGGAAGAATCAGTACTAGACAAACACTCTGCGGAACCACCAGAACGTGTCCGACACAGAGATAGGGGCAAGGCCCCTGAAGGCTACCACATCCATGACGACGACTCCGATATCCAACGAGATTTCGTGGCGCTCCATCTAGACATCCAGATATACGAGATGGAACCCACCGTCTACCTGGTCGACTTCAAGTGCTCCGGCTACGAAACAGCCGAGCGCCGGCTTCTCGACGAGAAAGACGTAACCAGCCCATTCCCCTTCCTCGACATGGCGGCCAAGCTTATCATGCAGCTTGCCGAAGCCGACTGAGAGACCTAGTATTCGGGTCTCACACTCTCTCTCTCCCTCTCTCACACACACACACTTTCTTTGATTTCAGGTTTTGTTTCTCCCCATCCCGTCTGGCGTCGGGGCGGGGCCTCGCCAAGAGGCAGGTTGGGTTTCAGTGCAAGGAATGAGGAAAAGAAAATAAGCAGCCACTGGGTATGGTGTAAAGCGGTTCATTGGAGCCTTGTCGTATTCGGCGAGTCGGGAGTTCCTGGGATCAAGGGATGTCGGGTTGATTCTGTGTTATATATCGGGAGGGAATGGATACACACCTTACTGAGCTTAAGACCGTCCATGCCGGAAACATTTTTTTTCCGCCCTCCGACTCCATTATGGAGGGGCAGGGCGCTCAACACATCGGACACCGGACATACGTGTCGAGTTATGTGGCTTGAATCGCCTTCTGCAGCTCTGTGAAAGGTCTGGACGGAACTTACTATACGGTATGGTATATCCCTCGAAAGCGTGGAAGGCTTGCCACCCCGTAATGCATAATGGTCGCTTCTATCATACCGAGATATTTCCTCCCATGAATGAAAACTTATCTGATTAAATCACTGAAGAAGCCACACAACAAGGAAGTGGCAGAAGTTAGAGCTGCTTTATATAAACCCGGACTTTGTACTCGGCCTCGTGTTTATTTGCCTGTTCCTGAACCGGGCTTGATCGTTTCGTGCCCAACCACGTACTCGTTATCCTTAGTTCGAGTCCAGCGCGCGGGATCTAGTCCAAACCCCCCCCCCGTTACGTATGTAAGGTGGTTACTCGTCCGGAGACTTATGTTTTATGAGGTAGCCACGTTTTCGTCTTTCATTCCTTCGTTCATTTGTATCTGTGGCTTGAATACACAACTCGAAGAACCCTCCAGGCTTCGGATACCTAAAATCCCACCAGAAGAGGGCCCGAAATAGCGCTACCGACTGCTGTTCCTGTCCCGGCTCCCCTATACAGGATACAGCCCACCTTATCCTTTCTTGCCCTTTTTATAAAAACGAACGAAAAGCCCTGCGGGAAGCCCTAGCAGGCCTACCGCTATCCCTGCCGCTATTATTCGGTACTAAAAGAGGTATACAGGCCTTAGAGGCCTAGCTTTTAGCTACTAAAATAGCCTCGGCGGAGTGGTACAGGGCGTAAACCTCGGATCCTGCGGTCTAGTTTTCTGTTTTGGTTTTTTACCTGTTTTTCGGTATATTAGGCAGACTGTTACGGAGGATTTCCTTTGTTTATTACTACTCCACTCCTTACTATAGTTTATTCTAGCCTCGAGCCTATAGGGCAAAAGGCGCCGCGCCATAGCTTTAGGGCTGTATGCGCGAAATGAATTAAAAAAAAAAAAAAAAAAAAAGAACCCTCCTGGTGGAGTTGTCGGTAGCTACCTTATGCAGTTACTTCCTTGATAGCGGTAGAGAACTCTCTACGACACGTCAGTTCACGAGTTGAGCCCCGGCATTGCAAGTCGGTGGAAACCTTGACTGGAATGTTTCGACAAGAGCGATCACGCTACGCAAAGCGAGACTTTGCGCCGACATGTCCTGGCTTCGAATAGGCGTCAAAAGGGAGAGGTAAATAACAAAGAAAAAATTCGAGGCGGGGCCAGGTGGGCTGCGAGGCTCAAAGATGGTGGCGTTTTTCAGCTTCTATGCTCCCCCATGGAACATGCTTGCCTTTGGCTGGCGCAAAGGCGAAGGGGCCTACTTGTTCGCGCTCCGGATATCGATGCTTCTGCTGCCGGTGCCGTGATCCATTATGTGAAGGTATTGGGCCCGGAACGCTGACTTTCTCCTCGTCGAAAATAACCGTGTCATTGACAGCTGCCATGTCGCGCCTGTACAGTTCGACGTCAACGGAGCTACCTCCCTCCGACTTGATGCCCCCAAAGCAGAAATGCTGGCGCGTGGATCCAAACCCGCTGCTGTGCCTTCCATCTCCAGACTGGTAGAACGAGGCCTGGCCGGTTCTGAACGTCGCAACCCTGCTCCCCACCAGGGACTGATTCGTATTCCGAGCAGTCGTGGTGAAGGCCTCAAGGCCGGTCGGAAAGACGGGATCTCCCCGAATTTCCAGGTATAATCCTTGATCTAGCTCAGCTTCGATGGTGAGGTTGTTCGTCGGGCTGGTAATGTGGCTGGAGTTGGCATATAGCGGGTATGAGTAGACAGAGAAGTAGAATCTCGGACCCTGTGCTTGTTCCGCCCCAGTGATGGTCATATTGTTGATGTAATGGTTGCCAAAAGAAGCCACGGCGCCGAGATTAGTGTACGCCAATGCCTGGGCCCAAGCGGATGTCCGTGAGCCGTTCCGTGTGGTGACCTCCCCCTTGACGGATATGTTGCGTTGCACGTGAAGGGAGTATGTGAGGTCCTCGTTTATCCAAGAGTCGTTCTGGCGTGTTTCGTGAGAAATGCGAATGGCAGGCTCCGGTGCTTTGATCTCGGGACTCCGGCCCGTGGTGACTGAGCCTTCCTCATCGAGCCACACGAATATCTTGCCTGTCACGACCCAATAGTCCCCGATTCTATCCGTCAGGAACGCGGAGTTCTTGTCGTCATAAAGGCCGACCACTCGAATCCTAAAAGTGTGGTCGTTGCCGTCACAGAGAAGAGGCAGCCAAGGCGAAAGGTCAACTTCATGCTCTCGGAGATCGAACGCCTCCAGCCCCACGACAGGTCGATGTAGGCTTGGGGAGACGCCTCCAGTGAAGACCACGGGGAAAGGCCAAGCCGCGCCAGCTAAGCGGTCGTCGATATACACCTGCACTTCTCTGAACGGACTCAGCCCGGGAAGCAGGCCGACTGTCTTATTGAAGGCCGCAACGTCACTCTGGAGCACATTACTCCACCAAAATTCCTCGGAGGCTTGCCCATTTGCCGAGACAGAGAACACGGCCTTTACTGCATTTCGCGGAAAGCTGACGGTGTTGATCGCCTGTTGCTGGGGAACGGTCCAGGCGCTGCCTGAACCAGTTGCCCCTTTTCTTGCCGAGATTGGAATAACCAAGTCGGCCGGAGGAGAGCCGTGATGAGCCACGTTACTCTTAAAGAAAGTAGCAGTCAATGTGCAGTTGAAAGAACCGGTGTACTTGTCATCTTCAAGTTGTCAGACCCTGGGTGGGTTGGGGTGGGACTGGAGCAAGTGGGGCGAACGGTGGGTTGGGAGGAGAGAAACGGAGACAAAGAAAGTCGAAAGCCTACTTATAAGATTGCCCAGATCGAAGATGAGCGTCTGGGGTGCCTTCCAGAGGCTGAGATATTGGGTCATGTCCTTCCAATAAGTCCAGACAATGCCAGGTGACGGCTTCGGCTCGGCAGTGGAAGTCCGCCAGACTTCGGTATCGTTGAAGAACATAAGCGCCAGACGATCAAACTGACGCCCGGCAGAGGTGACGGTAAAGTTCATGATGACCCTGTCAAAATCGCAGCCCGGTGGCTGATACTGTCCTAAAACGTTGCCTTGAACCTCAGCAACAAGTCATCATGGTTCTCGGTTGTGAGAGAGATTACGCACCGACGAAGGGCTTTCCATAGCTAAAGCCAAAAGAATGCTCCATCAGCAGCATGGAGCAACAAGGTTCCCCTGGCGCCTCTCCGGCTAGGGAATGGATGGCAGTGCCCTGTAGGACAGGCCCGGACGGTCCCCGTACCGGCTGCGCGACCTGGATACATTCCAGCGGGGCCTCGGGCCACGCATGGCCTTCAGCAAGGACGGCACGGTCGGGCTGGTCCTGGGGCGCTAGCAATTCATGTTCCAACTCTGAGCTAATAAGCTCATGTTGGTCCTCGAGCCCAAGTGCGGAGGTTCCAACTAGATACTGAAGGAGAGCAATCCAGGGAGGTCGCATGGTTGATGCGGAATCAACTCCGAACGAAGACAAAAGACGCACTTGTTTTGGTGGTTGGGTTGCTGGTAGCCCGAAGTTCCAGTACCTACCTAGTAAGCGTAAGGATAAACCATGGTCGAAGGAATGAAAAGCTAGTAAGTCGAAACTTTGCGCGTGACCGTCTGAGGCAGACGAGCAAGTTAAGGCAGAGATATGGACATCTGCCTGGAAGCTTTTGCTAGTGCTCCAAGAGTAGATATTCGGCTGAAGCGGATGAGACCGAGGGTTACGATAAAGTTATGATGATCGCACGGCGATTGGAGCGAGAGTTCTGAAAGTTTAGCAACAAGTACGGCAAAGGTCCCGAAGAAGGGAGGGATCGGGATAGGCGGAGATCGCTCTGTAGGTACACTGCGAGGCTCAGGCTTGGAGGAGTTGAATAATTACTGAGTCTGCCGCCTCGATGTCACGGGGGAAAGGGGGACGACAGTGAGACACGGAAACTAGGGGGGAGGGCACAACGTTTCTGCGCAGTCAAATGTACCTAGAAGTACAGTAAGATATCAGGTAAGCAAAAGTTCCGGGACGATTCAAAGGAAAACTGCTTCGAACCTTTTGTAACCAGGGTTCTTTGACCGCACCACAAAAAATATGGTGAATCATCTAGTAGTTCCGCAAAGGTACCGAATCACTTGACCTTAGAATACCCCTTTGCCACTCACTGTAGGTAAGCCGTTAGGGCGCCACTACTCTGTAATTATACTACTTCTACACTTCACACCACATCGCGCAGAGGGCTTCGATCATTTTTGGCCCCTGACTGCGTACGAAGCACTTTAGTCACGGTTCATTACGTCCTACTTCGTACGAATAGGAGTGGATTGAAACGTCAGTGTAATACTAGACGATGCTAATTATAAGACATGCTGGATAATCCGTTTACTGTTTACCCCCCGTTGAACTGCTGAACTACCTTGCTCGCTCAGGTCAAACTGCTTTACCTTCCTCCCCCGGAGAACGCCAGACAATGCATCCCTACGCAGATGCGTAAACAACCTCCGACCTGCGAGTAAGAATCCTTGGATCGTCGCACCGTTACCAATATCCGCAAATCCGTAGCGCCGTGTGGCTGTCTCAGTGCCGTCTTCTCGCCTCCCTTGCCCCTCTCGCATCTCTCGTCCCGCCGGGGATTACTAGTGTCCTGGCGCGCTGTGGTTGTCCCAGTACCGTCTCCTCGCCTCCCTCGCCACATGGGCGTCTAGGGTCCTGTGTTGGAAATAGTTGAAGAGGGCGAACTCGTCCGGGGTCATGATGTAGGTGTCCGGTGCCGCAAGGAGCCTGGACCATAACGAAGACACCGCTTCATTGAGTATGTGTACGAGTTCGGGGTAAGCGTTGTCTGGATTCTCGCGCACTGTTTGAAGTGCCCGTGCAACTATCCTCGGCTCCGTCCAATGTTCCCTCGGGACGGTTCCCTTGAGATGTGCGTGTCGCTGGCTGGAAGCGTTCGGCCCTGTGATTCTGTTGTGCCCCGCGCCGGCTCCGTTCCTTGTGCGGTGTCTGTGCCTCGGTCCGATCCCGTCTCTCACGACTCTGGCTCTGCGGTTTCTGGTCCATAGGATTCTGTCCCTGATGGCTCTGCCGTGCCTCGGGGGTCTGCTGTCTCTCATGACTCTGCCTCTCATGACTATGCCTCTAAAGTCTCTGTCTCTCATGGCCATGAGGGACATGGCCATGTCACTTATGAGAGCTCTGTATCTCACAATGGCTCTGTGCCTCACGATGGCTCTGCGCCCCTGGACGACTCTGCGCGTCGAGATGATTCTATCTTCTTCATCCATACTGCTGTTGTCCCAGGAAGGGGATAGGGGGTCCGGGTTCTCGTCTTCGAACATGTGTTGCCTATATGAGCGAGTCCTCTTGTCGAGGCGGGGTTGAACGTCGCGGAATCCGAGCTTGCTGCTTGATACCAGCATGCAGTGGGGTCCCAGGATGATCATGACCGGTGTGTAGAGGTCCACTTGTGATGGGGTGTAGACGGTGGAGAGAGAGAACAGGTCGAAAGTGTGAAAGCATGGGTAGTTGGCGGACGACAAAACACTCAGGAGGTCTTAGACAGATGGGGATTTATACTCATATTTGTTACTCACGCAGGCAATGGTTCATCTACCATAGACCCAATCATGCTCTGAACAAGGTTCCGAGTATGAGATTTAATTTTTATGTTGGAGGGAGAGACATGAACCTTTGGTTGGCATTTTAGCTTTGGGATAACCGGGCTGACAGTAGCCCTACCCCGTAGCGCCCAGAGTCTATCTAGAACACCAAATGGCTATTCGACGCGGCCATCTAGTGGTAGAGTTTGGGACAACGAATGTAGAACAGCCACAGGAAATGGAACCCCTGGTTCCATCAGGTTATCTTCGCCGGTTTCCGTTGCACGACAAAGCCGTGGGATGTTACCTACAGAGTACGAATGCAGCAATCACCTCCCTAAACGCCCCTTAGGGCCTTGGCACGAGTAGCAGCAGGCTACCGTGAGGTTGGCCGAAGAACGCAAAGGGGCGGCGAGGGGCGGGGAGTCATGTGTGCCAGGAGAAGCCCACCTACCGGTAGTCTCAGATTCCCCCATGGATGCCAAGGTTCATGGTCGAACTGTGACGGTCAACTGAGATTTGCCTGTACGAAATACTTATTATATGTGAAGAAAGGAAACAGTCATAGGTATAGTAGAAGGGTAAGGTAGATACTCTGTAGTAAGATACAATGGAGCTGGGAGTTGATACACCGTATAACCAAACACCATGCAGTCTTATCTCGGAGATGACCTGTTGCCGGCTGGCCCGACGTCGGACGGGGGACTATGATGAAGAGGGAGAAGCCGAGTACACACACACACACACACACATACACACGCACAGACACACGCACAGACACACGCACATACACACGCACATACACACGCACAAGGTGGTCATGCTAATCAGACTACTTATACGGAGCACTGACTTAGGAGACGGAGTACTGACTTAGTAGTGGCTTGGGGGGTGGAGGTTGTGGGTGGAGGTCGTACAACGTAAAATCATGGCTGTTACTAATAAATGGGTTGTAATGAGGCTTTGCACGTAAGAATACAAGACGTCCGTTTTTTTCTTTCTATTTATTTTCTTCTCCTTTTTACTCATTTTTTCCTTTTCTTTTTGCGTCTTCCCTTCATCACGACTTAAAATAGTTGGAGATAAACACTTAGGGAATGGCATTTCATGTACTTATAATTGGCCAGCCCTAAAAGCCCAATTTACTCGGCTCCCCGCCAAACATATGTCGGTACCATCCAAGCCACGTGTAACTTACAGGCCAACAACTCGGGTGATGCCGCACGCATGACAAAGTATTCCGCCGTTATCTTCGTCGGTACATTGCTGGAGCAAAAATGCCGCGTGTGGTGGTGGCGGCTCTAACTTTGCGATGAAAGTTAATCCCATAGAGCCGAGTACTTCGCCGTCCATAGAGTTCGTCTCGGCCTCCTGCTCTCCCAAAGTCGGGTCGAAAGTCTAAACTCAGTACGCGGTCCCCTTTATGTCGTGATCCTGTTCGCATCCCGTCTGTAAGAGATCAGTCTTCTTATTGGGTTCCCCCTAGTTGAGAGAAGAATATGCGGACATGTAATACCGTCGACACTTTGTCGTTGCTCTCGATCCGCGGGGTTGCTATAGCCTATACGCCCAGCTCTCTCGCGAGTCGTGCCAACGGGGGCTCTTTATTTACGCACTCCTCGCGACAGGAGTAACGACTCGTGTGTTGTTGAGTTCCTGGTAGTGTGATCCATTGTGATTCATTGGTGAGTCAACGGTCTCGGACTGAATCTGACCAGGCGAACAAACAGCTAGAGGACTTCCTACCAGGTCCATGGAGAACCTACCTTACTCTGTACAATACACGCCAAGACATGCTGCTATTGGCTGGTCCCCCTTGACTGACTTCGGGAGTCGGTCGACCGACCATAACCCCGGTCTTCTATTACGAACTTTGGGCAAAGACTCATGTCGACCTGGACAGGGAGACCAGAAATAATACCAGTCGTATGCAACAGAAACCAAAACCCGACCGATTATCAAGTTTATTAGCATCCCGGAGAGGAGGGAAAAGGCCATAAGTATCGCTTTACGCTTGGCACTAATAAGAGAGTCGTTTCATGCTCGTTTTTCCATGAGGACAATTAAAGTTTACGCTTATACAAGCCACATGGCGTGGTGGTTGGGAAACGGCAAGCCCGAAGCGGCACCTTTGTCTTGTCTGACATTTCGTCCGGAGTCATCCCCCGGTCCAAAGTTCGTCGATCTGGGGAATGTCGAAAAAGTCAACCACTCACAGCACATAAGGTAGGCACAGTGAAACAACCGTCAATCTGCCGTCGGCTGTTCATGAACTGTAATTAGTCCGTGTATGCTGCGAGCCATTGTTCCTGCGCAAGACCACCGAGTTCCGGTACATTCCCTACCTCGTATAGACAATCGTTGGCGACGCTATGAAATTACCTTCTCTGGGGAATCGCAACAGTTCACACTTTTGTGTTTTCTGAAGTACAACCCCTGCGTATAACAACTCTCCACATGTATTAATTACTTCATAGCTTAATCAGGGGGACGATTCCAAACGCCTCATAGCGCACAAGCACAGCCCAAGCTCAAGATGGAGAAGAGAATTAATTACTTCTCATGTCAGCCGGTATATTTTCGCTCAACCAACATCAAGACCACACAACTCTATCAGTAAGGTCTCCCAGTAAGCAGTACAAATATTGGTACACAGGTCTATGCGCGAGCAATAGACGGGGATTATACATTTCCATCCTCTAATTTGCCGCAATCCCGGCTGGCCGAAAGGGCAGCTGAGAGCAGCGCCGAAGAGGGGAGGAGGTCCGGTTTTCAACTTGGGGGATGTTTCCGAGGAAGACTGGGTACCGAGATTTAGGGTCGCCGCTTTCCGATTTGCCAACCCCACGATCTCAAGACCCTGACAACTTTTGGCAAGATCGCGGCAGTCAGGGGGACACGGATAAAGATGAGGCTCTTGTGGATGGCGTACGCCAGGGCAAGCTGTGTTCCAAGACCTGCAGGCACAATGCTTCGTCAGGGACTCCGTTCTGCATGGAAAGAATTGAAACGTGGGTTGTATAGGCCGAACTTACTAGCTTCTGCCCGGTTGCGCTCATCGGCCTTTTCCACTCCCCAACTAGCCATCTCGATGTGTTCGCTGATCATGTCGCTGCCGAGCCGTTCCATCTCAGCCTTCTTAAACGCCGCTCGGGATTCGCGCCACTTGTTCTGCACTGCTTCCGGTATCAGGGCCTGGGTGTGGGAAACAACCCAATGCTCCATCGCGCCTATGTACCGTCGTGTCAGTGCAGGATCGACCCCGCAAACCAAGTGTAAGGGAAACCGTCGTACCTATTTTATCCGTGCCGACGACCTTGACAAGAAGATAGCAAAAAGGGAAGTCAAGCACGCTCAGTGCGAGGTAGACGCCTAGTGCTGTCCATCCATATTCTTTGGACATCCTCCTTAGTCTCCCACTCAAGGACAGTGGCTCTTGGCCAGACTGGCCCTGGGACGCATTTCGGGGCGCAGAAGAGAAGAAGGATCGTTGACCGGTTCGGAATGATATAGGGTTTCGATACGATGTTCGGAATGCGCCCCGGTTGTTTAGGAGTCTCGTCACAGGCCGAGAAACACTATATCCCCTGCTGAGTGCCAGGTATGGCGTTGTGACAGCTCCCCCCCTTGTTGCTTGACGAGTCCAAACGGCTTCCCAGAAGGCACAGGCTGGCGTCGTCAGGGATGGCCGTGTTATCGGCACACCGCGGAAGATTGTCCCCAGCATGGCGACCTCGATTAGTTGTGTCTTTCTCCACCGCCCAACAGTCGAGACGGGTACCTCAAATTCGGGTGGCGATCGGATCGGTAGATGTAGGAAGTCGGTCGAGGACAAAGCTCTGGGGCACAAGAGATAACGGGACTGCAGCAGCGACGAGGCCGCCCTTATTCGGGCGATTTTGGCCGTCAACGAAGCTGCTTCGCAGAGATCAAGATTCGGAGGCGCCGGAAATGCGAATGACCTCCTCAATGTTCTCAGCTTTGGATTTTTCTTGACCTTGCAGCCTTTGGCCAACTGAGGCAACACTGTTAGAGACTTTCAAGATGTAACCGACATTTAGGGAAGGGCCACTGAGGTCTGTTATGTGCGTGCAAAGCTTCACCACACCAGAAGGTCTGGAGCTTTAACTTTTTCTTCGTCCTTTTTTTCCCCCCGCTCCCTTCGGATAATTAAGGTGCAGGTAGCTGTACGGATATGGTACCATGATGAAATCGGCAATGCCTATACCTAAGGCAGGTACCTAATTACGCCCTAACTCCGTACTCGTACCTTCGTACCTAGGTACACCCTATGCCGCGAGGTGATGTCGGGATGTGGTACGTGCACCGCTTATCTCAGCACACCGGATCTTTTCCATGCCATGTGACCGATATGCACTATTGCTTGGTCCCCCCCGACAATCCATCTCTCCTTCGCATCTGATACCAATGTCGACCTAGGATGTTCAGATGTAATTACGGAGTGTTTAATGTTGACAAACATAATATCGAAGCATACTTCGTGGGATAATATCAGTGCTCGAGGGTCTGTCCACTATGCTCAAAATCAATCCGAGGACCGGATTCGTTCCTTCCATTGGTACCGCAAGGATCAAACCAGTTCATAGGTACAACGTACCTCGCACGACTCGATTATGTACACGCCATGGTCACAGAACTTTCTTTTTCCTCCTTCCCCTTACGTACAGCGTACAGAAACGACATCTTTAGGGCGGGATAATGTAAAGCCACTGCTAGGATCAATTGCGCCAGATGTGCTCATGTGATGTCGCTGTCGCTGCAAAGGACCACTCATCGACTGGCTGCGCGCGTGGGGAGCTGAATGAACTTCGATCCTCTGCTGGGTATTGTACATGATGGTTTGCTATTAGAGGTAGTTGCCTGTCAGTGGCGGCCATGGGAGCCGTTGAGATTGATAACGAAACCCGTTAGTCCAGGGCAAGAGCCAGACATTGACAGGCACCTAACCGTTTGGGATTACTTTTGAGTACCCAGGGGTTATAAGAGATGAAAAGACGAAAAAGACAGTGATTTATAAGACGTGCGAATCATCAATTACCGTATTATTTTAATAAATTCGTCTAAGGCTCTTTTCTGCTTACGTTAAAAATACCCACTTCCCTATATAGTCTAAATCGATCGGAAATTACGTATCCCGGTAACCCTCTATCTCCTATAGCCTTAATAATCGACTACTATATAAAATTGCTTAGTTTTATTAGTCGATTTATATCGCACGTTAAATAGCACTTGGATAATCCACTTAGTAGAGCAGAAATCTCGTATGTGTGTATTATCTTAAGTTATATCTAGGAGAGTCTCTTATACCCTTAATTAGGGTGGTGAAGACTCTGTTATAGGTACTATATCATTTAGATCCTATCTGGTCTTTTTCGGTATCCGCCCTTATTATATCCTGATACCCGAGGTCCCCGATATCCGAAGCCCTTATTTATAGCGTGGATCCCCCCTAGATCCCCTATAGACCACGTTATAGTCTGTGCGCCTATACGATATACCCCCTTAGTTAAGGTGGGTCTTCCTAGGTTAACTAACTAATCAGAGGCTTCGGTTTAAACTAAACGCTCTTAACTTTTCTATTGTAAAATTAATAGTTAGGGGAAAACGCCCTCGTAAAAGGGATCTAAATCCGCCCTATTTAACCGTTTAATTTAAATCTATCTTAATTAGTTCCTCGATCCTGATTAGCCGGATCTGCTTAATCGGATCTATATCTATCGGATCTTTTACGCCCTCGGGGGCCTTTATTATAGCTGCTTTAGCGCGTTTAATCTCTTCGTATAGTCGTTTAGACCACTTAATATAGTCCTATTAATCCGTTAAATTAAGCTATTACCAGAGTCTTTTAATCCCTGCCTCTAGTAGTGCCTTTATTAAACCGTCCGCGATTATCTCCTTTATATTAACGTACGTAACCTTAAAGAGGCCCTGCTATACTAACTAATATACCTACTAGTTATAAATATCGACGTGCCGTAGCCTTATTCGTAGGCGTTATACCTTCTTATTAACGAGGTTAATAGTCTACTAATTATCGTAGTGTAGTTATAGTTACTATTAGTCTGACCGAAGCTCTAAGTCCCTTAATATCCGGCTAACGAATAACGTCTTTTTAGCGGCCTCTATAAGAGCGAGTAGTTCTGATTCTATTAATAACGTCGTGACCGTCGGTTACTTACCCGCCTTCTAGTTAACGGTTCCCCCGAAAAGCTTTATCGTATATCCTTATAAGCTCTTACGGTCTGGATTATCCCTAAAGGACGCGTCGCTTACTATTAGGAAGAGCCTATCCCCGCCGAATTCTGGGTTATAGTGTCTTATATAATATAGGAATAGTAGCACTTATTAAGCCCTCTTAAGATAGTCGGAGGAGGGATTAACGTTATATTAGGAAAGCTTTAAATAGGCGAACGCGATATCGGGTCTTATCACGATAGTAGCGTATAGGATAAAACCGATTATACCCTAATACTAGCGGACCTCGGGAATTAACGCGCGGGTACTATCGCGAGGTATTACCGGCTCCGTAGATAATAGGACTTTTAGTGGTTTTCGGCAGAGTATATCTACGTAGTACTTAACTGTAATCTTCTTTACGTAAGAGGATTATAATAGCTATAACCTACGGGTGGCTCTATCCCTTAGGACCTTAATTCCTAGGAACTAACGGATTTCTTCGCCTCCTAATAACCTATAGCTCCGCTTAAGGGTAACCTCGAGGTTATCGGCATCCGTCTTACGGTCTTTATAGTATATAAGTCCGATATCGTTAATATAGAAGAATAGGATTAAACCATTGTGGATCCTAATATAGGGGTTATTAGGGATAGCTATAAAGCTTATCCTCTATAGCGTTCCGCTGAATTCCTCTTACTATAGCAGTAACGATACCCTTAAACCGAAGAGGGCTTTCCGTAGTAGTAGGACCTTACCTAGTACTTCGTAGCCTTACGGTATCTTTATAAATACCTCTTCCTTAAGGCTAGCATCAACGAACACGTTAACAGCATCGAACTACCTTATCTCTAGATGAAATCGGGCGGCGATCGCTATTAGTATACGGAAGGACTATAAGGCTAGCGTTACAGCGTAGTTATCTTTAGTCTCTAACCGTTTTTATTAATCCCCTCAGACTATATGGCGTGCCTTATACTTAAGGAGGGTGCCCTCCTTATTAAATTTATAGGTGTATACCTATCTATAGGCGAGGACTTATTACTTATTAGCCTAATCACCACCTACCTCCTACTAGTAACCTATTTATCGGTGCCCCTTAAGGTATTCCCCCTTAGCCTATAACCACCGCTCCCGTAACGGGTGGAGGCGTATATCGCGGTGGTGGTTTAGCGGAGGCAGGAGATCCTCGCGGGTTAGGCGTGATAGCGGCTAAGAGGTATTAGAGGGAGTAGAATCTATAGCACTAATATCGCTATCGTTAATAGCTTACTTCCTCGCGCGTATAGGGTTATAAGTCCTTCTAGCGTTATAGAACGCCTTCTAGGCGTTATTATTCTGCACCTTCTCGGTCTTATAGATACTTATAATAGATAGGCGTACCGCTAATATACACACCCTAAGGGTATCTATGGCTGCCCGTTAATTATTATTATCTCCTTCTACTTTAACGCCTCTAACTACCGCTAACGCTATAAGGAACGCGCGCGTAGGATCTTCCGGGGATATTAGAGGCGTAGGAAACGGTTTAAACCTCGTAGCGGTAAACCGCGGAGTGTCCGTAATAGTATTAGTATCCGTAGTAATAGCGGTAGCCTCTCCTGTAATAATAGCAGTAGCGTCTTCCTAGCCCGTAGTAATAGCGGTATTATTACCTTTACCCGTACTAATAACGGTGGCGTTGCCTTTACCCGTAGTAATAGCGGTGGCGTTAAAGTCTTCCGACTTAAGATCGAATGCGTCTACGGCTATACCCCTGAATAGTAGCCTATTCCCGGTCGTGGCATCGCTAGATTAAGTGATACGGATAGATTATAGGCATTCCCCGATTTCCTCGGCGAAAGCTATAGCTTATGGCGTTTTAATCCTGCCGTTAAATATCTCGTCTTCGTTAAAGACCACGTCTCTTATAGTAATAATATCCGTTAGGTGTGGTAACTAAATACGGAAGCTATTCAAGGATTAGTATCCGACGTGATAACTAATCTATACCTTCGGTTCTAGCCTTTATAGGCGGTTCCTTTTAGCATAGGTATCGCGCGTTTTTATGAAGGCTTTATAGCCGTAAGCTTATAGGTGCGTAAGGTCAGGTTAACGGCCGCGTAGGCCTTCGTATAGTGTCTTCTAATCGTTAATATATCGTGGCGTCCTATTATACAGATATATAGCAGTCTTAAAGATCTTAGGCTAGATTGATATAGGCAGATTAGCCCTAATCCTTATAGGCCTCGCCCTCCTTTTAACGATGTCTTTAATCCGTTCTATAACGCCGTTTTAATCCTATGAATATAGTGCTAACGGCTAGTATTCCACCCCCTTAGCAGCGAGGAAAGCAACGACTTCTAGGTGCTAAAATATCTCGAAATCGGCTCGTAGGATACGTGGCCGGACATTAAATTAGGTCTTAAGCAGGGTAAAAACGTCTTTTAACGCGTATAGGATAAAGCCTTAGTCTCTCTTCTATAGGTAGTAATCCCACGTATAACCTATATACACGTCGATAACGAATATAATAGACTTATATAGGCCGCCTAGCGATTCCGACTCTTCTAGATCGTGAAAATCAATAGCCAGGGCCTCTCCGGGCTTTAACGGGTAAAGGGATAGTATCCGTCAGATCTACGCAGGTATTTATAATTGCCTATACGCGTTATAGTCCGTTATACGAGGTCCCTTTATCTTT